GCGCACCCTTAGAGATAAGGTGAGGAGCTCAGAGTACAACCGCTGCTCCTCCACATCGAGAGGAGCCAGCTGTGGTGGCTCGGGCATCTGTTTCGGATGCCTCCTGGGCGCCTTCCTAGGGAGGTGTTCCGGGCATGTCCCACCGGGAGGAGGCCCCGGGGAAGACCCAGGACACGCTGGAGGGACTATGTCTCTCGGCTGGCCTGGGAACGCCTCGGCACTCCCCCGGAGGAGCTGGAGGAAGTGTCTGGAGAGAGGGAAGTCCGGGCATCTCTGCTTAGACTGCTGCCCCCGCGACCCGGTCCCGGATAAGCGGAGGAAAATGGATGGATGGATGGATAACGTATTATTTAGTTGAGCTGGCTTCTTGATGAACCAGTTAATGACCTAGGGATTTACGTAGCTAGTGAAATAGTTTGCCAATCAGTGAGCCAGTTAACGTCTGTGAGTCAGCCACATGGCCTAGCGAGTCAGCTGTTACATGTGACATACAGGTGTTTTTACGCACGTTTCAAACACTCATTTAAAATCTAATCACCTGAACAATACATGTCAGTCTTACCCTGCACAGTCTTGGGGAGCACAGATTTTAGTGGAGCTGGATTTTTACTACGAGACAGGATGTTGGGGATCGTCCTCGGCTTGTCCCTCAGTACAGGTGCACTGTGAGATACCGCAGGTGGATCCTGCACAGGGTTTGACCCCTCCAGGACCCCCAGAGCCTGTTGGATGAGTGATACAGTGGGTGTGGCAGAAGTAAAAATGGGAGGTGCTTGGGGACTCTGCTGCAGATCAGATGACGCAATTATAACGTCACTATCAGTCAAGCTGCCTGCTGGAGGCTCAAAGACCCCGCCCCCAGGTGCTGCTGGCATCCGACTGGCTTCTCTCTCCTGCTTCTCCGTCTCCTGTTGGGATGATAGGTGCTGCACTTTCCTCAAGTCACTCTGCTCACATTTACCTGCAGTAACACACACATCAACAGGTTAAAGCGCCACCTAGAGGTCGGCGTGGATGGAACGTATAGAGAGCCGGAGCACATCACAGGCTGAAACCAAACATCCTGTCTGGCTGTGTTGTTCATTCCTTTTCCACCCCATCTAGTTTTAAACACATGTGAACAGATGATTTGTCCGGCAGCGTTTTGTGTCAAGATGTGTTCTTTAACTCTCTGGAAACATTTCAAGCCTGCTGACAACCCCTCGTTAACATCACTTTACAACTGCACAGCCTCCTAAACACATTTTGCAGTGTACACTGGGCTATACAAAAGTTCCAGCTATTATACTTTATATTTCTTTTTCAAACCTTCAGTTTTACTTTTATTTAAACTATTACTGTGTACTGCACACTCTTTTTTCAGTATACAACCTGTGATTTACAGTGTGTTTGTGACAAATAAAAACATATGAATCTTGAACATAAGACCTATTTCACACTTTCTAACAGTAAATTTAACCTAAAACTCTCAAAAACATTTGAACAAACAAAAAAATCTGCCCGTCTTCCAGCCAAACCAGGATCAAAAAGCATTTTCACACGACAACAACTGAACCAGAGGCATAAACGCTGTTGTCACAAGGCCTTCGTTAATTGTAAAAAGGTAACTCGGGCCTTTAAAGATCTGATTAATACTACAAAAGGAAAAGATGTTGCTTTAGCAGCCGAGGACAAACTGCATCTGCGACCCTGCTGTAGATTTCCACTCATTTATGTGAGTGGGACAAGAGAAACTACACCCCAAATTATTATTTTTTTGCTTTACACATAATCACGTTGTTGGATTAAGTCGTCAGCACAGGTGAGCTTTTCTAGTTAGCCACCGGGAGAAGCTTCACCCTCTGACATGCTGATCTCACAAAGGTTTGCTGAGCTCAGTTCAAACAAAGCCTCTAGAAAAGGACAAATGCCAACAGCTGTGGGAGACACCATCCTCATCCTCACCTGGTTCCTCTCCTGAGGTATCTGTCACAGGGTCCAGGCACGTAATTCTCTCTATGTCACTCTGCAAAGCCTGAAACACAAAACACCACAACTCTTATAAAAAAAGAGTCACGCTGACCTCCACACGACACCTAACACTTCCTGCAGCTGCTTCACAATAAAAGCTCGCCAGTTAGGACAATAGATTATAGGTTTTACTGTGAAGAAGTTGCAGTTAGTGACAGCAGCTTCGTAAAACTCAGACTAGACTTTACATGTCCAAACCTTTAGTCAACTTGGACCTTTTCATGTGTTATATTAGTTTATTGTGGTTTTGCTCCAGTTTTTAATGAAACACAGTTGAAGCTAGGCCATATAAACGAGTTCTTGTTCTAACACGACAGCTCTACCTGATCTCACCTGTTCTAACAGAAGTCTCTCAGGAGAGTTTCCAGCTGATTCGGCGACGGTGACGCTCTGACCTCCGATCATCTGCTTCACACACAAACTGCTTCTGTTAACAGAAAATAATCACAAACAACAAGTGAGTTTAAACTCAACTATTTATTCCCAGACATTCGACTGAGGCTTCCTCCCCGATTCACTCTTAAACGTTTCTTGCTCATCTCTGGCTTAAATATGTATCAGAGATTCTTTTATTGTGTTTCTTTTAACAAAAAAACACACTGTGATCCCAGCTCTATAACTTACAAAAATAAATACAAAAACAAAAATAAGATTTCATTTCCCTACTGCCATAAAATGTAAACCACTGCAACTGACAAAAAGAATCATCAACCAGGTCTACAGCAAACAAACAATTCAATGTCTTGGTTTACCATATGATACGACGCAGCGAGGCAAGGTCTCAGACTATGGACAGCTAGCGTTATCTCGTCAGTAGCGGCAGTATCAGCCTTTCAGCTCTTTGAATTAATTTTACACACAGTACTAACAAAGAACAAAATGTTTCTAGAGCAGCAGCAGCAGTTTGGTTTTCAACAGCAAAGGCACAGGATCACGGCACATGTACCATTATCTCCATGAACACATAAAATCTAAATAAATAATATTCCTGACACACAACACTGAGTGAAAGAGTCTGTCCTTCTCCCTGGACTCTGGAGTCACTGCTGGACCGCTCCTGTTTAATTAGCCCCGGCAGTGATACTACATACGGTCAGCTCCAGCTGCAGCGTGTTGCTATAAACAAGCGTGCAGTATCTGTAAAACATCCTGTGGTGTGGGCCTGTGGGCAAAGTGGATGAAAATACACTCTTATGTAAATGTTTACTTGTTGAACAGATGTTGAGGTAAGGTCCGCTTACTGTCATGTTCAACCTATTCGCACTTCATACAGGTCTAATATTTGGTTCCTTTCATTTGGCTTACACCGACCAACGTTAACGCTTTTAAAGTCTGAATCTCTAAAACACTGACACTGTTCAGTAACAGCAGTAAAACTGGAACCTGGGTAAAGACAAAACAGACATGTTAAAATGTGTAACTGCATTAAAACTGCACTGCATAAGACGGTCGAAGTAAAAGAAAAAACATTTCTCCCACACTGACTCAGAACTGTTGATAAGACAGGAAGGGCATCGGCTCTTACTCTGAACTCTTCACCCTCGCCAGCCCCGCCAGCAGACAGTCCTCAACCTCCATCTCCATGGTAACAGACGGTACCACCTCCTCCTCCTCCTGACATAAACACAGAGATGTGAGAGTCAGCTGGCTCTGCATCAGGAGGCTCTGCTAACATGTGACTAAACAGGCACACTTACACTGGTGACAGTGATGATGCTGGTTTCCTTGGTGATGACATTGTTCTCATCAGATGAGTTGTCTAAGAGATCCACCACCTCCATCACATCTGTGTCTGCTCTCTTACATGCTGTCCTTACTCTCAGACCTCTGCCCACCACCCGTCTGCTCTCACCTGAACAAACATGACACAATCACTGTATATTATTGATTGTTAAAGTACAGCTGATGTTTCACAGTAAACGTGGTGTGTAATTCCTGTTTCATTAATTTTGTTAGTGTTGATTTTTGGCTCATTTGTCTTTACAAATGTAATAAAATTGTTTTCCTGCTGTCTGGGGGTCAGAACACAGGTGATGCAATGATAGCGATACCTGCTGTTGGAGCGATAATGGAGAGGTAGTCATCCCTCCTCCTCCTCAGCTTCCTCCTTGTTTTCCTCAGGCGTCTTTGGGTCGTCTTCAGCTTCTTGATCACTTGCATTGCCTGCAACAGAACGTCAACCCATAGTAACTACAGCAGCAGAGAGATAAGAGGAAGATGTGGCTCAGAGAATGTAAGAGGAAGAAAGAATAGAAAAAGGAGGAGACATGGAAATAGTGGATGTATATACAGAACATATGAACCTGATTTCTGTCAGCGGGTGTTAAAGAGTCTGACCTTATTCAGTGTGAAGACCTTGGATGTCTTCTCATGAGTCAGTCCTAACTCTGTCCTCAGGTGGTTAAACAGCTGCTGAAGCCTCCTGCGACGTTCCCTCTCCTGTTCGTTCTGGTGCAGCAGAACATACAGAACATATGAAACACAATGCAGACACACTGGAGCATGTCACTCTGCGGGGACTCTAATGGGCAGTGTGCACAGTGTCCCCATGGACGTACACACAGCCATCACTGGATCACTGTGAGACTGGAGGGAACACAGAAACAGGAGGATTCTCAGGCAGGTGCTGTAGAGCCTGCTCCCCTGGTTTCTATGTGGGTTTGTGGAGGTTTATTGTGGAGAGACATCAGAGATAGTGATATCCTCAGGAAGTGGATATCACACTGAGTCAGATCAACATGTGTTTCATGCCTGTATGTTCACGTCACTGAGTCAGGACTCTGAATGTACACTAACGAGCTCAGGTGTTGTCACCTTGAGTAAAGTTTCACTTCACCGGAGCAAAGACTGCTCACACTGTGTGGCGCTGCAGGGGTGTGCTGGATTTATAAGAGGACAAAACAAGAGCACTGTTACCTCCACCAAGGAGATAATGGTGTGTGTGTGTGTGTGTGTGTGTGTGTGTGTGTGTTGGCTAGCAACATTACAGACAAATAGCTGCTGGATGGATCAGCAGCATACCTGGTACAGACATCGGTGGGGACCAACCCTAGACGTGATTCGATTTTGGCTGAAAAAAGGTCAGTAATGAAAAAGAGAATCCAAAAACATCTTATCGTTAACATGGAGCAACCTAAAACAAATCCTAACTATGTCAAAAGTTATCAAAATCATTTTTGTTTAAAATTTGACACACACGTGTATGGTGGCAGTGTCTGTCACAGACCAAATTTCATTCAGATCTGATCTGGATTCCGGATCTGATGGCCATTCAAAGTTAACATTGAAAACTCAATTTAACACGTGTTCTGCCATAACTTGGTCTGTAATGACAATTGAACTGAGAAATGTTCAGGAAAGATGCACAGTGTAAAGGATGATCTGGATCCCATCCGGATAAAAGATTTAAGAACACATTTTGTGTTGTTCTGAATCTAATTTTTAAATCAACAACTTTTAAATCATTGGTTAAAACATGTTTATTCACTCTGGCTTTTAATACATAGTATCGTCTGATGCTTCCTCCTTTTATCTGGTGATTCTGTGTACTTGGTGTTTTTATGTTCCTATGTTGTTTTATTTCTCTGACATTTTTTACTCTGGATTTGCATTGCCGTGTAAAGTACTTTGGTTGACCAGACGTTTTTAAATTGCTATACAAATACATTTTGATTGATTGATTTGATTGATTTTTCTAAGCGACCCACTTGCGTGAGCGAATGTTGTGCCTTGGCGGAGGTACGTGTGCTCTCTGAGTGCTCTTACTGCAGAATGGAATGTGGTGCAATAATCATTTTATCTTTATGAATCTGTTTTCATAATCATTGGAAGGCAAAATCATACATGGAAAATACAATGTGATTAATGTCTTTGTTCACCCCTAGGATTGGTGTCTTGTGAGACAAGCTGTGAATTACCGTTGGATCCTAAATCTGCTGATTAAATTCTGATTAATATGATCTCTTTCTTACATGGCTCATTGTCATCGGCTCATCTTCAAAGTCGGACGAGTTGTCTGTCTCACTGCTCGACCCCAGGTCCACCACCTCCATCGGCTGTGCCACCGTGGTAATAAGCTCCGCCTCATCTTCCACACAGACAATGTCCAGGTCCACTAGGTTACAGGCCAGCTCCGGTTCAGGACTGCCCCTGTCAGCTGGGGGCCCAGGTGTGACCTCTGACACCGAGGGTGGGGGTGGAAGTAGAGCTTGAGTTGTGGGTCTGTGAGTTGTCTCTGTGGGGGTCTGGGTGGTGCAGGTGGACACCTGAGATGAGGCAGGTTTCTGCTGGACCGCCACACCACCAGGGCCCACTGGAACCGGAGACACAGTCAGCATTTTGACCCCGACCTTAGCCCGCTGGCCTGTGGAGGGTCTGAGGGAGATCAAGTTCACTGGGGTTGCAGGTGGGCAGGGCTGAGGTTGGAGGGGAGTGAAGGAACCTGGAGATGACAATATCTTGGTGGGAGACTTGGGGAGGAGTTTAGGACAGGCGATGAAGACTGGTTCCTTGCTGGGTTTGACAGGGATGATTCTGATGGTGCACATCCCCTTCTGAGCTAGGAGACCAGGGTCTGGGCAGAGGGGGGTAGTTGGGGGGGACACAGTGAAGGACCGGAGGCCAGACAGGGAGGGGGTGGAGGTGGTCATTGTTACTGTGGTCAGAGGGAGTGTTTGGCTCACAACAGTGACGACTGGAGTCTGAGGAGGTGCAGCAGAGCGGACAGAGCCCCCTCTGTCCGCTCTGCTGGAAGGGCTGGAAGAGTTTTCAAAGGAAGGGCCTGCAGGGGGGAGGAAAGACAAAAGCACCAACTTCACATTAAATAAACTTTCATCATGAAAATGTTTCAACTGGGAAATCATCAGGGTGACTCTGGTTTGTTCCATGATGGGTCTTAATCTGCTGGTTTTGTCCCTTGTTACAGAGGAACTAATACGTCTCTAGTCAACCTGTAACAATCTGAGATGAGGCTGGAAACAAGACACCAGCTCATCCAGATGATCTAAGCCACTTCATTTAATAGCTGGTGGACAACAGTGGAGGTCTACGGCACAGAGCGATAAGCTGAACTAGGGTCTGGACTCACACACATTACGGTGAGGAAACCACATTCACTGGTGCTGCTTGTCTCTGGACAGGGGTTGGTGGATTTTGCAGGGTTACTGAATGAGAATGATGCACTCTGTAGTCAGATGCTGTATCCCCTGAGCCTACAGAAGCTTTAAAATGTTTTATATATGCACACTGTGAACCATGGGCCTGTGCAGACGGCTGTGTTGGCCTCCTTCAGTCCTGCACGCTCACCTCTCTCAACTGGCATGTGTGGATTTGCTGATTGCAGCTGGCTGACAGGAACAATTTGGACCAGTTTACCATCTTGTCTGCGGTAGTACTTTACACCAGATGCTGTCTGGACCGACTGTAGAACTGTCCTCTGACTGGTGGTTGGGGGGCCCGGGACCTGGGGTGCCAGACCTGATACAGGAGCCGTTGCGCCAGGACCTTGGACCGGAACCAACAACATATGAGAACCTTTAGGAGCAACGGAGCCTGGACACGAATTTCCAGGTTGAACCATAGAGCTGCTCGCCTCAAAATCTGAAACACATGAGGACAGAAATGCGGTGCATTACTGCAGAAACACAGGTTCTTTATAGATTTATTACTACAGAAACTTTTACAATTACGGTCTGAAACTTCATGATCAGAACAAAAACATCAGCATCATGTTTATTAGTGTGCAGATAAATACCAGCCAAAAATACATTGTGGTCTATAAATCAGAAAAAGTTAAAATATCGAAACGCATGTGCTGTCTAGCCACCTAGTACCTGGTGAGCAATAACTGTGATTAATAAACCTGTGATGATGACAGCTGTACCAGACACCTGCAGTATTACCTGTTTTGGGGGCGGAAGCAGCTCGTACCGTTCTGAACTGGCTGCCCGGCCTCACAGGACTCGGGTACACCCTCAGATTGATGAACTGGGTCCCCTCCACCTCAGGTGTTTCACCCGTAGGCTGGCTGGAGGAGCCGACAGCTGATTGGTTCACCTTTTTCACTGCAGGCTGAAGCACTGTGACACACATGCCATCAGTCTGAGACGTTAAAGCTACGACTTTGCTTTGAGTTTAATTTACAGGGTCTGCTCCTTCGACACACTGTCTGCAGAGCCTTTCTATCTTTGTAACCGTCTGTCTTGCCGTTTCCAAGAAAATGTGCCGCCACTAAGTAAAAAACTCTCCATGCAGCCTTTTCAGATTTATCATCTATAAGAAGCTGAACAACAAAGACACCTTCTTTAATCTTATCTTCACTGTTCCTTGGAAATTTTTCTTTAATAAACTTGAAACCTGCATTTATTATGTCCACGGGTTTGACTAAATTTTGGTTTCTGTTAGCCACTAAGTAATCAGTGGTTCACCAACAATAACATAACTTCACCACTAAGCTAGCATACAAATCTGCTAGCATTAGCTCATTACTAGGAAAACCTTTTTTTTTTTTTTTTTCCTTTAGTCAAGGCTTTACTGATGTTACAAAATGCTTAAAGATCTGTCAGTAAAATCGGGGCGTAAAAAGCAGCCTGCATCAGCTAATTATCATTAGCTCTTTAATGCTATGCGTACAGTATTGTGGTGCATTTGTATGAAAGTATGCACCGAATGGATAACGTTTAAAGGATAAGTTATATGTTCACCTGTGGAGGAGGCTTTTAACATGAGCTCTGTGGCTGACGACTGTGGTTTTGATGGACATGGGGTCATGGTGGAGGTAGCAAGTCCAGGGGAAGCTGAAGAGACGGTCTGCAGCGTCAGTCCTGAACTCTGGGTCTGAGGAGGTTTAGAGGAGGATGAAGATGAACACAAAGTACCCTGCTGCTTCCTGCTGGACCCCACCCGACCAGTCAGATAGGCTGCCAGACGGTTTGCTGGATGAAGCGCCCCCATGCTCCCCAACTGGACCTTAGCCAGAGGATAGAGCTTCCCGTTCACCTGAAGTAAACGAGGAGAGCAAAATATCAGATATCAGCAAGATTCATTCATTCATTCATTCATTTTCTACCGCTTGTCCCTGAACGGGGTCACGGGGGGGGGGGGCCGGGCCAGCCCAGCCAGCAATCGGGCGAGGGTACACCCTGGACAGGTCGCCAATCCATCGCAGGGCTAACACATAGACGAACAACCAGACACACGCACATGCACTCCTATGGGCAATTTAGAGACACCAATCAACCTAAGCTGCATGTCTTTGGACTGTGGGAGGAAGCCGGAGTACCCGGAGAGAACCCACGCAAGCACGGGGAGAACATGCAAACTCCACACAGAAAGGTCCGAACCCGGAACCTTCGTGCTGTGAGGCAACGGCGCTAACCACTGTGCCACCGTGCTTCCCAGCAAGATTCATATTGCTTTTAATTCTGACATCCAAAATGATGAATTAGAAAAGACAATTTTTAGGAAAATGCAGCAATTAGCAGTTTAATTTGAATGTTCCGTTGAATAAAAACAGTATAAATGTTTTTGGATTTTGAGTCTGGAGTCTGAAATGTCATAAAATGGTAAAGCTAATGTAAAGCTGAAATTAGAGAATTCTATCGAACTTTAAGTTTGTATTTTACTTTTATAAAATCCACAAACTGTCAAGAATCTGAACAATACAGTCAGGTCCATATATGGCATTCTTACCTGGACTACGTGGTCAGTTCCTCTTGGCTGTTTCTTATTGGCTGAGAGGAATCCGGCCGGGGAGACTCCCGTCAGCAAAGGCAGAGCCATGCTGACCTGTTTTTTATTCTTTGCTTTAGTCTCCATTTTCTCTCTCCTCCCCTCCTTCCCATCATCTTCCTGGTGGACTGTTGAGTTCTTCTTCTCCTCAGTGTCACCTTCCTGCACCTCCTGCTGCCAGTCGTCCAGAGGCTCTTCCTCCTCCATCCCCTCCCGCTGCCGGTCTTCCAGAGACTCTTCCTCCTGCCTCCCCTCCCGCTGCCCCTCCTCC